TTAGTCAAGTATAATCAGAAGCACACACCAGTTTGAGAATATCTCTGTACAGTATATTAGGCTGCAGTAACGCAGCTGAAACAAAGTACTGAGATGCAGGAGATGAAATTCTCATTGATTTTGAAGAACAAAAGATCTATTTGATACCTCTGGTATACATTTTACCCAAGCCAAAGGATGGAAATATTGATGAACCAACCGTCTTATCCGAATGGTTTCTTATGTTTATGACTCAATAACAGTTGAGAAAACGTTTTTGCAGGGATCGTTTTCCTAAGGGTTGTTGTTGAAATGCCCATGTTGGCCAAAAGTACACCGCTGCCCCAAGCTCTCATTAGCTATACAAGCGTTCATGTTTTCTAGCTAAAATAAAGACATTCATGTTACATATATTGCTAACACACATGTGTCCAAGTGCATGCATAATTCATAATAATGTTTTTCAGCTGTCACATCACAGGTGGAGAAAACATAACTTAAAATTATCCTGTTAAAACTTCTTATTCACCTGGCAAATGTCTTACTTGTTCTATCGGTTTTACAGAAGAAGTAACAGTGTAAAAAACATATTTTATCCAGCAGTTCAGATCAGACTTTCTTTCACACTTGCTTTTCAGGGCTTCCCTAAAAAACTATACTTTGAATGTAATAATGCTTATGGGAGTCCAGGGAGAAGCCCTTCTTAGCAAGCTATAGAAGGTATTAGTAGGATTAGTATTGTAATTATTACTGAGCAGTAATAATCTTATTAGACCTGATTAGTTTCCATGAAAAAAGCACAATGTTGTACAACACTGAATTCAGAAAGTATTGAGGGTTGATTCACAGCCTGATCTATCAGTGAGGTAAACAATGATGTTGTATTATCCAACCCCTAACAAAAACACGTTATTGTCAATAAGAGGTTAAAAAAGCATTGCATTAGCACACAAGTTCGAACAAACGTGTGAAAAATCCCATCCATCTGACCGAGCTTCGAACTATCAGCGGTGCTCCAACACACACGATTCACGCTGATTGCTGGGTGCAGTGCTCACGCTCACTGACCCATTCATTTCAATAAAAACAAACACGCTCTGTGAAGTGGCTTTTGCCATATGGTGCTAAAAGAGAAAGTGTGTGTTAGTGTGCAGATATGTCAAATTGTGAGGGATTTTTAATGAATAGATTTGACTATTGTGTTGTCCACTGTGGTTTTGAAGTACTTAGTAATGCCTGCAGGGTTCACTTTATTTTGTCTCCAAAATAAACAAAAATATAAGCCACATCACGAGGTGCTTTTATGTAGGGTTGCAACTAATTACTGTTTTCCTTTGGATTACTGTTGATTATTTTCTAGATCAGATTTATCAGAAAAATGTCCAGCTGAGTTTTTTAAATTACATTGCGATATCCCTTTTAATGTAATCCAAAATCCAAGCATTTATTGTATTGTAATGTGATGACAGATGAAAGCAGTAAATGTCCATATTTAAGAGGCTGAAAAAGCCTTTTCTTTAACACTTCATTGATTATCAAATAGTTGGCAATATACAGTATATGTATGTGTATTGACTAACAATGAAGCTCTACACCTGACTTTCCCTCTGTCTCTTTCCTACTGTGACATATTTTGCCTGCTAGTAGCTTATGTTTTTTTCTGCCAGCCTGCCGTCTGTCAGGTTGCTCCGGAGGTATCTTAGAAACGACTGGACAAAATATCAAAGCATTCGGTGTAATCTCCAAAGGACAATTCTTTATTATCTCTCTAAATAACATCTGAAAGGCAGATTCCCTGTGACATTTTACTGCACATCATCCCAGAGGATGATCCTGTTTTATTCCAGAGCTTTAGTTTTAGATTACTCAGAGAAAGGGAGGGAAAGAGGAGGATGAGTGAGAGCAGAGTAGGGAAGTGTGGCACCGGAGCTAAGCTGAAGTGATGTGCTGAGAAAGTTAAGAAAGAGAGGAGGAACGAGGGAGAGATGGAGAGGTGAAGACAAGGTTGAGATGAATGAACTCCTGCTAGCTGCCGGCTAGATGTGTGTGTGTGTGTGTGCAAATAAGTCAATAAGGGAGCATGGCTGCTCATTCCCTGCTCTCAAAAGAGTTTGGCTGGCTGTTTAATCTCTGTTCACACTGAGACAGTACAACAAATAGAGAGAACAGTACACCTATTGTGTAAGTACATACAAGCAGGTCACACAGTATGATCACAAATACATAAACTCTGTTAAAAATCAGTTTTTATTAAGAAGTACAGGCTGCATATGTGTTCTCAGCCTTGGAGAAACTTGACATGTTTTGGGATGTAGGCCTGTGACAAACAGCCAAAAAGGGCTTTAGTTTTCGAGATACCGCTCCCGGAGTTAGGACAAAACACAACTGACTTTTTCCTCATCTCTAAGTTGTATAAAAATATTTTACTGCAAAAGTGGTGAAATTGATATATAAAGTTAGACACCCCAAACTAAAAATAAAGCCTGGCCGTCTGGGGGTTGAGGCATAACAACTCATGTAGATTCACAATGGAAGGTCTGATAGGTTTAAAACTTGGCATACCTGAGGTCAGGACATCCCTCTGCATTATACAGGGATGCAAACACAGGTATGGTGAAAAAAGACAGAACTATTAGAAGCAGGAAAAAAACAGCGTAATATACCATCTGACAAAGGCCTGTGCTAAAATGCTTCAATTAACTGGCTATTCTTTATAATATACTCAGATCAATAGAGACAGAGATGTTAAGTTATAAATCAAGGGTTTTTATTATTATTTACAGCAGGGGTGGGGAACCTTTTTCCTTTCAATTTGTACAACATCCTCCGAGGGCCGTACAAAGATTGAACTCAACTCGCTTAAAAAAAACTAAAATCAACCAATTCATTTGGCTTTTCTTTCATGCGTGTGCAAAGAAAAAGCAACCTCTTAATCCAGGATATCTTGCCATAGACCGCGCATGCAGCATGCATGCATGCGCGGATCATGGCAAGAGTATGCTGGATTAAGAGGTTGCTTTTTCTTGCCACAGCATGAAAGAAAAGCCAAATGAATGGCTTGGATTTTAGTTTTTTTAAGCAGAGGTTGAGTTCATCATTTGTACGACCCTCGGAGGATGTTGTACCAAATTGAAAGGAAAAAGGTTCCCCACCCCTGCTGTAAATAATAATAAAACCCGTTGATTTATAACTGTAACATCTCGTCTCTATTGATCTGGTGATATTATAAAGAATAGCAGTCTAATGAAACGCATTTTAGCACAGGCCTTTGTCAGATGGTATATTACGCTGTTTTTTCCATGCTTCTAATAGTTCTGTCTTTTTTCACCATTTACCTGTGTTTGCATCCCTGTATAATGCAGAGAGTCCTGACCCTCAGGATGCCAAGTTTTAAACCTATCAGACCTTTCCACTTGTGTAATCTACATGAGTTGTTATGCCTCAACCCCCAGACGGCCAGGCTTATTGTGTTTATTTGGGTGTCTAATTTATATATCCAATTTCACACTTTTGTCAGTAAAAGTTATTATTTATACAACAATTCCATTTCATGTATGGTAGCACTTAGAGATATGAGAGAAAGTCACGTTGTGTTTGTCCTAACTCCGGGAGCGGTATCTCGAAAACTAAAGCCTTTTTGGCTGTTCTGTCACAAGGCCTTAACATCCCAAAACATGTCAGTTTCTCCAAGCTGAGAACACATATGTAGCCTGTACTTCTTAATAAAAACTGATTTTTAAAGAGTTTATGTTGTGATCATACTGTGTGAGTGGGCTCGCGCGTGGTACTTACCACCATAGGGACTTTCTCTCTATTTGTTGTACTGTCTCAGTGTGAACAGAGATTACAGCCAGCCAAACTCTTTTGAGAGCAGGGAATGAGGCAGCAATGGCTCCGTTATTGACTTATTTGCACACACCACACCACAACATCTAGCCGGCAGCTAGCAGGAGTTCATTCATCTCACCTATGTCTGTCACCTCTCCATCTCTCCTCGTTCCTCCTCTCTTTCTTAACTTCTCAGCACATCCTTCGCTCTAGCTCC